CCTCTCCCCCCCTCTCTACCTCTCACCCCCCCTCTCTATCTTTATTGTTCGTTGTGTTGATTCCGGGGTTTCCTCTCATGTCCTCTGTGAAGGAGCTGCAGAAAAAGTGTATCGGGGGCATCAATCATCCTGCGTAACATTGTAGCTGAAGACAATTGTCTCCTTGTCTCCCAATCCTCGTGTGATAAGCTGATCCCTACTGCAATTTCCTGGGTTGAAATAGCAATTTAAACAATTGTCTCTTCCTGAACTCTGACTCCCTCCCCGGCTCTGTCCTCTCCGGCAATGTCTGAACATTTGTGTGTTAAATTTTATTGAAACCCAAAAATTAAAATGTAATGCATTGCAGGTTACCCGTCCTTAGATGTGGCGGCTGCATTCTTTTTTTTTCCTTTACATTTTGTGATCCTGCCAGTAACAGACATCACGTCCTAAGGTGACAACACTCACTCTACTGTATTTGTGGAGGAACAGTGTTGTCACCCTGGGAGAGGACTTTAGAGACCTCCTCTTCTTATCATCTCCATAACGTAGATCCACAACTCCAGAACATAGGCAGGGGTTCTGGGGTCCACAGACATTCCCTCTATTTCCACCTGATGATCCTGCCAGTAACACACATCCTGTCCAAGGGTGACAACACTCACTGTACTGTATTCATGGAGGAACATCATTGTCACCCCAGGAGAGGACTTCAGAAACCTCCCCATCTCGTCATCTCCCTAACATAGATAGGTTCTGTAGTCCACAAACTTTTCCTTAATTTTCACATGATGTTCCTGCCAGTAACACACATCCTGTGCTAAGGTGACAACACTTACTCTACTGTACCTGTGTAGGAACAGCATTGTCACTCTGGGAGAGGACTTTGGAAACCTCCCCTTCTCATCATTTCCGAACCATAGATGGGCAGGGGTTCTGTAGTCCACAGACATTCCTTTTCGTTTCGCCTGTTGATCCTGCCTGTAATACACATCCTGTCCAAGGGTGACAACATTCACTGTACTGTAATTATGGAGGAGCATCATTGTCACCCTAGGAGAGGACTGCAGAAACCTCCCCCTCTCGTCATCTCCATAACATAGATAGGTTCTGCAGTCCACAAACTTTTCTTTAATTTCACCTCGTGATCCTGCCAATAATACACATCCTGTCCTAGGGCGACAACACTTATCAGGGGTGTCCCTATACTTTCACCAACTGGGGGGGCACGTGTGCAGGTGGTGCAAGGTCCAGAAAGGAAGGGGGGGGGGGTTAAAAGGGGATTGCTGGTGGTCCACGTAACCCCAGGAAGGGGGGTGTTGGGGATGCACTGGCTCCGGCTTTCTCCAGCATCCCGTGCAGCTCACTGACGTCACTAGTTGTCAGGAGTTTGGCAGGAAGGACACCAGCCAGAGCGTCACAGGGCTCTTAGCAACCTTGGCTGCTCTGGCCGGACAGGGGGCAGCAGGTGTACCCCCCACATGACCCAATGAGATGCCGCCTGAGGGCGGCAGCCTCCAAGTCTTAGTGCGTAGGGTTCAGTATTGGGTTGGCCCGCCGCTATAACAGCTTCAACTCTTCTGGGAAGGCGTCCACAAGGTTTAGAAGTGTGTCTATGGGAATGTTGGGCATTTGTGGGGTCAGGTACTGATGTTGGAGGAGAAGGCCGGGCTCACAGTCTCCGCTCTAATTCATCCCAAAGGTGTTCTATGGGGTTGAGGTCAGGACTCTGTGCAGGCCAGTCAAGTTCCTCCCCCCCAAACTTCCCAATTCATGTCTTTATGGACCTTGCTTTGTGCACTGGTGTGCAGTCATGTTGGAACAGGAAGGGGCCATCCCCAAACTGTTCCCACAAAGTTGGGAGCATGAAATTGTCCAAAATGTCTTGGTATGCTGATGCCTCAAGAGTTCCCTTCACTGGAGCTAAGGGGTCAAGCCCAACCCCTGAGAAACAACCCCACACCATAATCCCCCCTCCACCAAACTTTACACTTGGCACAATGCAGTCAGGCAAGTACCGTTCTCCTGGCAACCACCAAACCCAGACACGCCCATCGCATTGGCAGACAGAGAAGCATGATTGGTCAGAGTTATCTCTAAGCCTGATGAAGGGGACCCTGCGAGGCCCCGAAAGCGCTTGCCAATGAGATACAGCTATTGGCAATAAAATATTTTGCTTTTTCAACTCATGGTGTGCTGGTGACATTTTTCTACTTTTCTATTTTTCTATACACTTCTCTAGAGTCCAGTGGCGGCGCGCTTTACACCACGGCATCCGACGCTTTGCATTGCACTTGGTGATGTAAGGCTTGGATGCAGCTGCTCGGCCCTGGAAACCCATTCCATGAAGCTCTCTACGCACTGTTGTTGTGCCAATCTGAAGGCCACACGAAGTTTGGAGGTCTGTAGCTATTGGCTCTGCAGACAGTTGGCGACTTCTGCGCACTGTGCGCTTCAGCATGCGCTGACCCCGCTCTGTCATGTTACATGGCCTACCACTTCCTGGCTGAGTTGCCGTTGTTCCCAGTTGCTTCCACTTTGTTATAATACCAGTAACAGGTGACCGCGGAATATTTAGTAGCCAGGAAATGTCACAGATGGACTTATTGTGCAGGTGACAACCTATCACGGTACCACGCTTGTAGTCACTGAGCTCCTGAGAGCGACCCGTTCTTTCACAAATGTTTGTAGAAGCGTCTGCATGCCGAGGTGCGTGATTTTATACATGGAGGAGATTGGAACACCTGAATCCAATGATTTGGAGGGGCGTCCCAATACTTTTGGCAGTATAGTGTATGTATTTAGCTGCGTGCCTGGAGTTCAGTCTCCCGCACCCGATGCATAGGCAGTTTGCTCGGTCACCCAGCTGGGATGTGTCACAGGTAACACGAGATGTCCGACTTGACACATTGTCTCTCCCTTTCTCTTACACAGGTAAGAGTCATCAGACAATGTCCAATCACACGCGGCCAAATCAGACTTCAGGCAAATCGCTGTTCCTGATTTACGCTTACCTGTACTTGGCTGGCGGCCTGGCTATTCAAAGGAACAAAATATTTTAAAAAACGCCCCCAGGCTGGAATATGCCGCTTGTAGGGCGAGTTAGAAGAGAATTATGGTCTGGGAGGGGCCGCGTTCTGCCATCTGATAAGCAGATTAGTGTATACCTGAGACAGTGAAGGTATGCGCTGTAACTATGTCTATTCAAATGAGTGGGAGGGGCCCAGGTGTGCACAGGTGTATATATACCTCAGGTGAGCGGCTACAAGTCACCCTGTCAAAGCTGAATACTTATCCCTGGCTTTGGAGAGGAGGTGAGTTGGCTCCGAATTAATTAATTCCTCCAGGAATTAGGTTCAGGTTACCTGGATGAGAAAAAAAGGGAACAATTAGTGTGAAAGGGAGGGGGGAGGTGGGAGAGGGGGGCACGGAGAAAATTAATTATTTTCCATGGTATTTACTGTCCCGGCCGCACAAAGGCTGTTTTGATTCTCCCTCCGCTTCGTTAATTCCGCATCACCAAGGAGACGGTATAATTGGCGCGATAGAATGTTTGCACAGCAGGTGATATCAAATCTCGAGGCAGCTCATTGTATTGCGGAAAACCTTGTGCAAAAAATATGACGTTTTTGTAAGATTTAGACCTTATATATATTATTATTATAAAGATGTTACATTATCATTGTGACTTATTTGTAAATCTGTAACTTTTGGATAGAACAGGGAAGGGTTAGAAGAACCTCTATCCTTGCTGTCTGTGTCCCCATCGGTTGATGTTCCTGTCCCATAGTTTTGACAGGAAGGGAATGGAAATTTCCCCAAAGTAATTGAAAACAACCACCTTGGACAGTTGTCACTAAAACAGGTGTCCCCATTGGAAGAAACCCCTTTTATTCTTGTACGTCTCATTGGATTGCCCATGGTAGAGCCCATGGTAAGGGTTATGAGGGTGGGTCACAACAATAAAGTCAAAGCCAGCAATTAAAACTTCACCTGTTCCCATGACAACGGTTAAAGATGGGGTTTCCTTTCACTTGGAAATCTCCTGTTGTGCCCCTGGGACAGGAAGTGAAGAGAATTCTCCCTGATTGGGGTGGGGGAGGTACATGGAGAAGAGGTGCTAGATAGGGTTGCCACCTTTTCTTCCAGCGAAACCAAAACATTCTAGCGACTTTTTTTTGGGAGAATGATTTGCGGCTTATTCATAAGTAAATAGTGCCACACATTCATATGTAAATATCGCAGTTGAGACTATTTTCAGTGGGGGGCCAGTAGCCCCTATCTTAATTTTGGTTGCCCCTGTCTGCCTGACATCTTGTGTCCGGGCTTCTGCTGCCATGTAACCCGGACACAGCATTCAAAACCCGGACTGTCCGGGTGAATCCTGCACAGGTGGCAACCCTAGTGCTAGATCTTCTGTTGGTAATATCCAGCGTTGTGAGTGGCCATCTGATGAAGTTGCATTGCTTTGGTGAGGATGCTCCTGTGTAATAAAGCACACCCTCAAAAGTAAGGGAGGACCTAATGAAGATCCAAATACGTAAGGGTGCCGCCCCAATAGTCATAGAGCGACAAAAATATAAAACATAAAAATGTACATATATATAAAATAAAATAAAATCATAAGTAACATTATTTTATTTCTTACAAACCGATAAACATTGATACTTTTATCTTTGTGCCCTCATTGAGTGGGATTGTTTCAACCCCTGAAACGCGTTGGCCCTCTGATTTCTCCAATTATTTAAATGTATTTATCTATGTATAAGACTGTTTTGGACCCCATTGGTGTGGTGCTGTTACTGCTTCTCAGCAAACAGAACCAGACCCGGGTTCTAACCCTTCCCTACTTTATGCAATAGAACAAACATTTTGCGGGGATTCTACTTTAAGCCTCAGTAGAGAGGGGTACTATCACCCGATGTCTCAGTTATAGGTTGGGTTCAGCACAAGGTTGGTGGGGGCCCCTTATAATGGGCACAGCCTGTGTGCAGACACAGGAACTCAGCTCAGGGATGGTGGGAGCCCCTCATAATGGGCACAGCCTGTGTGCAGACCCAGGAACTCAGCACCGGGATGGTGGGAGCCCCTCATAATGGGCACAGCAGGTGTGCAGCAACAAATCAGAGGTTAGATTCAATCAATGGGCTGCAAGCCCGGCTTTTAGAAGCAAGTATATTTAGCAAGCTATTTATAATCCTGTAAGAGGAAGTGTACCCTGGATCCTGAGTGGAGTCCTGCAGATCACCCGCCTGTGATGTATACATCGGTTAATAAGTAAGCGGAGCTTATAGCACATCTCCCCGGCATAGGTATGGGGAAGTCTTGTACAGCCGGAACAAACATGCCGACGCTGAGATTTCTTATCTGCACCAAGCCCAAGAAAAGCTATAATGCCGAAACATTTTACACTAATTCCTGCTATAAACAACCTACAATGCGGCTACATGATAATGATACAAATGAATTTAGAATAGTTAGTAGTCATGTAATAGTGTAAAATCATTACACACCATGGGGGTCTATGTATAAACAATATGCAGGGCTATTCCCCCCTGTAAATCTCTGTGAGCGCTCGTTCTGTGCCAATAGAGGAAAAAACAAGCATTGTTAGTATATTTACTTTTCAGGTTAAAGGAGAACTATGAGGTGAGTAAAAAATCACCCCTCCTCATAGTTCGGGCCGACGCGTGACAATGAAACTGTCACACGTCAGCTTAATAGATCGTGATGTGAGCGAACACATACCGGCGCTCCTGCAGGGATTCCTCCCCTCACCGCTCCGATCCTCCAGCGCTGACTTGCGGAACAGACGGGGAGGGGGCGGGTACAACTGGTTCTGCCTCTAGATAGGCAGAGCCCGCTGTCAATCACGCAGCTAGGTGGGTCTCGACAGTAATGTCGGGATCGGTCCCGGCTGCGGCGGTCTCATTATACCGCGAGCTACAGCTCCCCATATACTGAGCTTTGGGTCAGGGGAGAATGCTAGTTTGTGTCCTCCTGTGACCCTTAGAAGAACTATGGGGAAAAACACTTACCCCATAGTTCTCCTTTAAATGTAATGTTATATAATACCACATTATTGATGGACATGTGTCTTTATTCAACCTCAAATACTATGTAATTATGGCCACTAGATGAAGCTGAGGAGCATGTGAAAGACGTATGAATTTCCTGTGCTCCACACCTCCATCTAGTGGCCACAATGCAGTATTACATTTAACCATGAAAAGAAAATATAATAAAAATACTACTAATAATAGTAATAACAATAGTGATAATAATAATAATAATAAAAATAATAATAGTAGTAGTAATAATAATAGTGATGATAATAATAATAATCTTAATAGCAGTGATAATAATAATACTAATAATCAAAATAATAATAATATTACTAATGATAATATTAATAATAATAATTAGCTCAGGAAATATTCTTATGTTTTATGGTAGTATAATCACATCTCATTTTTATTTTGTATTATTTTGTATCTGGTTCCAGCACTGGTATTTGTTGTCCCCCAACCATCAATACTATATTACAAATAAACAATTTAATTTTTATTTTTTTCAGCATCCAACATGGATTCCATGGTCAAGTCAGTATTTGTTCTCCTGGTGGCTACCTCATTGTCCCTGGCCAAAGATCCCTCTCCGAAAGGCAAGCCGGCTACAAAACCCGATCGGCCTCAAACCCTCTCCAGAGGTAAGAACCGAACAAAATGTATTAAAACTCCTAAAAGTTGTTCTGCAACTTTTTTTTTAGCAGTGCGGCACGCTCCTGGCCTCCCTAGGTGTGTCTCCTGTCCTCCACGTCCTTGTTCCTGCTTCCTGTCTACATGTTTTCCTTAGAAGTGATTTACAGACTGCGCTCGATGAGTTGGGCGCACCTTGACCTTGCTTGTGCTTTACATTGTCTACAGCAAACCAATAAATAATACAAATTTTAATTGTCATTGTTTTCTTTTGTGTTCTCTCTGCAGGGTGGGCTGACAACCTGGAATGGGTGCAGACCTATGAGGAAGCCTTATTCAAAGCCAAGGCAGGGTCAGTCATAGGACAATTCACTCTATTGGTATTTATAGGGCTAGAGCGCCATCTTGTGTTAGGTTACAGCATTGCATATAAACTATAGGTTGGAGTTAAAGTGACATTAAAACCTCAGATTTTTTAACATAAAACAATAGTGTAATGTGTGCCTTACTGTAATCCATGGTTGTTTCCCTTCTCTTTGCTGCTCTTCCTTTTAAATCCGTATCTGTTCTCATGCTGGGCAGAACTTCTGTTTTGCAGCAGACTGCCTTGTCTCTGGAATGGATACATGGTGTCTGTGTGCAGGTTCACAACCTGAGCCAGCACTACAGGTAGAGGCAGTCAGCTGCAAAGGGAAGTTCTGCAGAGCATGAGAAGACATGAGGATTTAAAAGGAAGAGCAGCAAAGAGAATGGAAACAACCATGGATTACAGTAAGGCGCACATTACAGTATTGGTTTATGTTAAAAAATCTGAGGGTTTAATGTCACTTTAAGGTCTGAGTACTTGTGAATGGTGTTGTGATGGACACAATGACAAGTGAACACTTCCTGTTTTAGGAGCTTCTTCTGTATGTTACCATCTTGTAATACAGAGCTTTTTGGCCCCTTGTGACCCCCTCACCATAACCCGATTGGTTATCCTGTCTCAGTACTGCATTAAAATGTTCAGTATATTCCCCATAACACGAATTTATATTATTTATTAACAATGTAAAAAATTTCCAGCATTCTGGATGCTGCTCCACATTGAACACAACAATCCATGAACAGTTTGTATTATTGTGCTGCAGATTGATACATATTTATGCGATGCGAATGGTTCTTGTTTTACAGAAATAAGCCTTTGATGGTTATTAATCACAGAGACGATTGTGAACACTCACAAGGTAAATAATGTCTTGAATTTTAAATGATGAAAGCCTGTAAACTGTCCGCGTCCGGAGAATGAGTGACACCGGAGAGAAAGGGCGGATGAATTGGCACTTCTGGTGTCACCGGGCCACCAGTTACAGTCCCAATGAAATCGATGAATCTGACAGGCTCTCAGTCACCCCACCCCCGGCTTAATACTATTGGTTGGTTATATTAATCACACCCCCCAATGCAGGAAAATGCTACTGCGGTGTTTAATGTGCATGGCCTCCTTACCATTGTAATCTCTCTCTCTCCTGGAGGAAGTGAAAACAAATCTCTCAATTTCTCTTCTGAAGGAAGTGAGAACAAATCTTTCTCTCTCTCTCCTGTAGGAAGTGAGAACAAATCTTTCTCTCTCTCTCCTGCGGGAAGTGAGAACAGCTCTCTCTCTCTCTCTCTCTCTCTCTCTCTCTCTCTCGTGGAGGAAGTGAGAACAAATCTCTCTCTCCTGAAGGAAGTGAGAACAAATCTCTTTCTCCTGGAGGAAGTGAGAACAAATCTCTCTCTCCTGGAGGAAGTGAGAACAAATCTCTCTCACTTCTGGAGGAAGTGAAAACAAATCTCTCTCTCTCTCCTGAAGGAAGTGAGAACAAATCTCTCTCTCCTGGAGGAAGTGAGAAGAAATCTCTCTCTCCTGAAGGAAATGAGAAGAAATCTCTCTCTCATGGAGGAAGTGAGAACAAATCTCTCTCTCTCTCTTGGAGGAAGTGAGAACAGATCTCTCTCTCTCCTGGAGGAAGTGAGAAGAAATCTCGCTCTCTTGGAGGAATTGAGAACAAATCTCTCTCTATCTCTCTCTCGGAGGAAGTGAGAACAAATCTCTCTCTCTCTCTCTCTCTCTCTCTCTCTCGGAGGAAGTGAGAACAAATCTTTCTCTCTCCTGGAGGAAGTGAGAACAAATCTCTCTCTCTCTCCTGGAGGAAGTGAAAACAAATCTCTCTCCTGGAGGAAGTGAGAACAAATCTCTCTCTCTCTCCTGGAGGAAGTGAAAACAAATCTCTCTCCTGGAGGAAGTGAGAACAAATCTCTCTCTCTCCTGGAGGAAGTGAGAACAAATCTCTCTCTCCTGGAGGAAGTGAAAACAAATCTCTCTCTTGGAGGAAGTGAGAACAAATCTCTCTCACTCCTGGAGGAAGTGAAAACAAATCTCTCTCTCTCCTGGAGGAAGTGAGAACAAATCTCTCTCTCCTGAAGGAAGTGAGAACAAATCTCTCTCTCTTGCAGGGAGTGAGAGCAAATCACTCTCTCTTGATTCTCTCTCTCTCCTGGAGGAAGTGAGAACAAATCTCTCTCTCTCTTGGAGGAAGTGAGAACAGATCTCTCTCTCTCCTGGAGGAAGTGAGAACAAATCTCTCTCTCTCCTGGAGGAAGTGAGAACAAATCTCTCTCTCTCTCGGAGGAGGAGGAAGTGAGAACAAATCTTTCTCTCTCCTGGAGGAAGTGAGAACAAATCTTTCTGTCTCGGAGGAAGTGAGAACAAAGTGAAGATATACCTTACTAGGCTATTTTTAAATTGCTCAAATATTCCAAAAACTGCAACCATAATAAAGAAGTGTAATGCATTATATGTGACATAGAAAATGACGAGTGGTACTCCATGGTGGAGGGACCTCAGATCAGACACCCCCCCCCCCCCCCCCTCTATCATTTTATGATAATACATTATATAACATTGTACATCATAGTATTATCTGCTCCCCACAGCCCTGAAGAAAGCATTCGCTGAGCACAAAGGAATCCAGAAATTAGCTGAAGAATTTATCCTTCTCAATGTTGTTGTGAGTATAAAGGACCTCACTGGTCCCAATGTATTTATTACAGATCTCTATATAGTGCTGACAATATACTCAGCATATTGTACAGTCACATCAGTCCCTGACCTCAAGGAGCTTCCAATCTAAGGTCCCGATCTCATATACACTCATATTTCACCACTATATACAGTATGTGATGTATAAATAAATAAATATGTATAATTTCAACATTAATAATGCTTAGTTATTGGTAACACTGTATAGGTTCTCCTGGGGTTGGTGCTTCTACATAAGCGGGCCCCCAAGGTGAGGCAGTGGTTAGACTAGAAGTGACCCTGATCGGGGTCTTATTGGGGTTAAAGTGACACTAAACTCCGAAGTTAAATCTTAAAAATGTATTCAAGTATCTTAGCTATTAGCAACAATGTATCTTATTTGTGTATCACTCGGCTAGAGATCCTCCAATCATCTCTGAATTGGTGCTGACACTGTCCTTCCTTCTGGAGGGGGGCTACTTTTGTTCCCCATGGTCCCTGTGCGTGTTGTAAAGTAGTCACCGCTCTAAGCTCGCTCCCGGGATGGACTACAATCTCAATACAAATGAGTAAACTAAACATGAGATTGTAGTCCATCACAGGAGCGAGCTTGGAGCGGTGACTACTTTACAACACACACAGGGACCATGGGGAACACAAGTAGCCCCCCCTCCAGAAGGAAGGACAGAGTCAGCACCAATTCAGAGATGATTTGGGGCTCTACAGCCGAGTGATACACAAATAGGAGTCCTCCCGTCACCCAAAGCTCAGTATACACTGAGACCACCGCAGTCGGGACGGATTTCAACATTACTGTCTGGATCCACCCAGCTGCATGAGTGACAGCTGGCTCTGCCGGCGGCGGCGACATTGAAAGGGTTAAAGGAGTGCTATTGGGTCAGGGCTTTTCCCCATAGTTCTCCTAAGGCTAACGGGAGGACACAAACTAGCGTCCTCCCATCACCCAAAGCTCAGTATACCGCGAGCTGTAGCTTTGATGCCTGCCAGTTTATGTCAGATATACTTCCATCAGCTGGTTTCGATCCATGGCATGAGAAGATAGAGTGTTGTAATAATCAGTTCCTGATCACAGACACAGGGTTCCATTTTTCTTTTTGTGGCCATTTTGTTTTTGTACAAATAAAGTCTCCTATTCATCAGATTATGTCAGATACATTTCCCATCGGATGAGGCCATACCACTTGTGTTCCATACACCGCACACGCTCTCAGGGGTGTCAGTTATAGGGCAGCGTAATCTACTGACCACACATCGATTGTTACATTGTCCTTCCAGTAGTTTCAGGACAAATGTTCACAGACATTCTATAACCACAGCTCCCAGATAAGGATCGTGCTCTCTCTCTCTTCCTCATAACCACCATGACAGCGGGCCCTTTGTCCCACCAGGTGGAAGGAAAGGGATTGAATAGAGCCCAGCAGACCGTGATGACAATATGTGGAACAGAGGAAGTTTTGGGTGACCTCTGACCTTGTATTATTAGGTGGCAGGGCATGTACTAAAACTCTGCCTTTGCCTTTTTTTTTTTTTTTTAAAGTATGCCTAAAAAAAAATAAAAAAATGTGATTCCTAATCCTTCTTCCTAAACTGTAACTAAAAACAATCACAGGGTTCCTGGGTAGAATCTAAACAGATTCCCCCTTACTTACTACTAGCAAAATATGCTTTACTGTTAAAATAATACCAAATAAAACATGGACAGTTCAAATCAATCAGGTCCTTCCAGTTGCTTTTCATTTTAACAAATTGTACTAATTTTACAATAATCTCATGACCAGTCCAAGTGTTTCGATACAAAAAGAAAAAAAATGGCAGCCCTGGCATCCCATTAGACGTGCAGGTACCTTATCAAAGGTGAAACCCCCAAGGGTTTTAACCGAAATGCCCTATTCCCTTGGTTCTCAACTGGTGGGTGGCGACCCCGTTTTCAGTGGGTCGCCGCATGCCTTCCACTTGTCTAGGTGAGAAGCTCCTCAGCACCCCCCCCCCAGCACTGTCAGTTCTCGCGCCAAGCAGTCATTCAAAATATGCTGCCGGGCGCCGAGTGTCAGCTTGAGGTGGGGTGGGATGGGGTTATGGCCGTGAGAGAGCTCCACCTATATGTGCATTGCTTACAGGTGGACCTTAAAAAAAAATCTAATTAAACATTTTTTTGTAGTGTGTATGAGAATGTCTGCGAGCGTGTGAATCTGTGATCGTCTATGTATGACAGTGTTTTTGAGGGCTCGTTCACACTAGTACACGGCATTAATAGCATAGGACCGTGCAATTACCACACCTTTCCACACAATTACCCCTACCGTGCATTCTGGTGTGGGAGGTGTATTGTGTTGCCATTCATTTGATTGGTATCCCAAATGCACCTCACTCCCACAGTTCGTACGCCTGCAACGGAACCCACGGTACCCTAATGGCATGCCTTCTATTGCAGTACGACTTGGGTCGTGACTTAAAGGAGAACTATGGGGTTAGGGCTTTTCCCCATAGCTCTCCTTAGGGTAACGGGAGGACACAAACTAGCGTCCTCCCGTCACCCTAAGCTCAGTATACCGCGAGCTCACAGCTCGCGATATACTGAGACGCCGCAGCTGAAGCAGATCCCGACAATTATGTCTGGATCCGTCCAGTTGCGTGATTGACAGCTGGCTCTGCCTATCTAGAGGCAGAGCCAGCTGTACCCGCCCCCTCCCCCGTCCGTTCCGCCAGTCAGCGCTGGCAGATCGGAGCGGGGAGGGGGGAATCCAGCCCCTCCCCTGTCACGGCAGAGAGCTGTGACAGGATCGAGAAGTGAGCGAACGCCGGTATGTGTTCGCTCACCTCCCAATCTATTGAGCCGACCTGTGACAGTCTCATTGTCACCGGTCGGCTAGAACTATGAGGTGAGTGAAAAGCGCTCGCCTCATAGTTCTCCTTTAATGACGAAGGACAAATGTGGGTCCTGAGGTGACATAGGTTGAGAACCACTGCCCTATTCTGTGTGACAAGCTGGCAGCAATTCAACCTGATGCTCTGTGCAGATTTCAATGAGCCATTGAGCCAGGAGGTAGAAGCAGGGGTACGAGGGTGCGGTGGGATTATGTCTTAAAATCTCCAGCAGTGAATGGAATTGTATTTTTTTTTTTTTGGGCAGATATAGAAAATGACATTTTTCCTTTAAGACTTTTCGGCAAAGATGATTTGTTATAATTTGGGATCTGTTATTTTATTTTCTGTTAGTATGACCCAACAGACAAAAATCTGCTCCTGGATGGACAGTACGTGCCAAAGATTGTATTTGTTGGTGAGTTCTCTTCTCTCTTTAGCCCAACTCAACTTTCCGAGTTCTCCCCTTGTAGGCACTTACAGAGTCTATAAGTATCATTGAGTAAATACAATGATACAATCTATTGTTTAGTTGTTTTTACCATTTCATTCTTATATAGATCAAAGGGGTGACATTTGATCTACAGATGAATGAAATAGTAAATACAAATCAGTTAAAGAAACCTTACAAGTAAAAAATATATATTTTTTAAATAATTTTTTTCCTATTTGACCCCTTATTAACCCTGTTAACCCTAATTAACTTCTTCTTTCCCTTCTCCCCATAGCTATCATTTTTCTGTTGATTTTTTTTTATTTTAGTTTTTTTAGCTATTATTTCTTTGTTGTTGTTTTCATTTGTTTTGTTTGTTACTTTTTTCAGTGTTGCATAAAACATTAAAATTGAAAATGTGCCAAAATTAAAAAACAAAACAAAAACTTTATTTGCAAATAACTGCATGCTTTGTGCCAGAAACATAATTTTTGTATTATTTCAATTGGGAGGAATTATAGAATACATTTTTTCCTAATTACCATAAAACTACTTTGAAAAAAAAGAATACTCAATTTTTTTTTTTTTAATGTCTTGTCTTGTCTTTAGATCCATAGATAATAAAATAATTTTTGCTAAACAAAAGAAGCTCCCC